CTGAGACCCCAGGGCGCCCCTTGAGTTTTGGTGTGGGAACGTCACGCTTTCCATCGCAAAACCATCGAAGCCCAAAAAACCCAGGGCGCCCTGGCGGCAAGCAGGGTGTTCTTGGCATGGGCCTCCACTGTACATGAGACAGGGAAGGAACATGGAGATAGGAAGAGCGGGAAGCACGAGGCAGCAACCGGGAAGAGGAAGGAAGAGCACGGGAGGAGAGAAGAGGGAAGTGTGGTGTTGGTTCCCACGTTGTGTGTATGTGCTCCGCTTAACGAAGGAGGCTTCCTGGAGCCTTGGAGGACCTCTTGGGAGTCTATTGTTGGGTGGCTTGGGAACTCCCTGGGAGCCTATCGGTGGCGCATTTGGAAGGTTCTGGAAGCTCTTTGTAGACTTGTTGGGGGTTGGGGTTTTTCGGCCGCTCGGGGGCTGTTGGAGCGGGGGTGTCTTCGAGAGACGCATCCCTAACGTGAACGGGGGAAACTATGAAGCGACGCTGCTAGAAGAGGCCCTATGAAGAGGTTCTGAAATGACGGGGACTAGCAAAAAGCGTTACGAGCAGCAACGAGTATGGCCTTCTCGGGGGTTCTTTGGGGGCCCTGCTGGGCCGTCTGGGGGCTCTCTTGGACTGTCTTGGGGCCCTCTGGGGCCGTCGTGGGGGGCTTAGGCCGTCTTGGGGCCCTCCTGAAGCCCTCTTGGGCCCGTTGGGGAGGCACCTACAGTCGGACCTAGGCCAGAATAACATCCTTCAAGAACATGAGACACTCCGTCGGCCAAAACACAAAGAACATCTAAGGGTACCCTCCCAGGGATGCACAAGAACACTCAACAAACACGAAGAACATCAGGAGACCCTCCGCGAACCGACCTCGATCTTATGCCTCGGCCCGACTGTATGGTCCTCTTGGGGCTCTCTTGGGGATCGTTTGGGGTCCTCTGGTGCCCCTCTTGGGGCTCTCGTGGGCCATCTTGGGGCCATCTTGGGGCCCTCTTGGGCCTTCTTGGGTTTTGTTTTGGGGCCTCTTGGGTCGTCTTGAGGAGATCTTCGGGGCCTCGTGGGCCTTCTTGGACGCTGTTCGAACCTAAAAGTGAATATTCTGAAAATGCCTTTCCCAAAGGGAATGGGACGATGTTTGCCCCTTGGGGGCCTTCGGGCCGTTCTGGGGCCCCCCTGGGCCGTCTTAACAAAATACTGGGGGCTCTTTGAGCGATCCTGGGCTGTCTTGGGGCCCTCCTGGTCCTGGGCCTCTTGGAAGCTCGGCCGAAGCCGCAGCAGCAGGCTTGTGGCCACCCTGTGCCGTCTTCGGCCGCAGGAGCCGCCATCCGCACTGCAGCCCATCCCCAGGGGCAGGCGAGGGAGACCTCGCCCCGCCAAGCACCCCGGGGGGCTGGCTGAACATGGGCGGTGCCTGGCCGGAGGGGAGGTTGTTTCTGCCCCGGCCTCACTGAGCGCATGCCACCAGAGCGCTGGGGCTGCGCCGCAGCGTGAGACAGAGTCGCGCAAGGCGGCTGTCAACTCGCACACGGCCGTGCGCAGAGTTTTCAGACTAGCCCTGGAGCGAGGAGGTGCATGAAAGAAGCGAAGCGGCAGGAGGGGAGGGCAGGTAGGAGGGATGAAGACCCGGGCCCCCTCGCGCTGCGAAGAAGATCACGACGGGGGATCTTGCCGCTGCTTTCGGCCTCCACGGGGCCCTTGGCCAGGCCTCGGGAGCATCAAAACACGACTCGGGATGAAGGACTGGTCCTGGTGAAGGGCTTCGGACCTGCGGGGGTCGACGTTGTGAAGCAACACAACATCGGGAGTCTGGGTAGGAGGGAGAAAAAGGACTGAAGATTTGTGTAGGGCCGAAGGGTCAGACACCCAGGGACGGGCGTTTAGGGGTGCAACCACTCTGCGCGCGCTTTAACCGCGCGCAAGCACTCACTTGACGCCACCCCCTTGATGCACCCCCTTGACGCCCCCCCTTGATGCACCCCTTGACGTCCCCGTTTGGGTAGTCCTGCAGATGAGGGCGCCCTCTGACCCTCAGCCCTACTCAACTGAGGGTTGAGGGTGCAGGGATGCAGGGAGTGAGCAGGGAACACAAGGAGAGTCCGCCAGGCTGGTGGCCCTCGACTCCAGGCAGAGACCCCGGCGCAAGCGCGAGCGCTGGGTCCCTGCATGGCCCTGCGCGCGTGGGCGTGGCCCCGCGCACACGGCGACATGAAGGAGCAGGCCGAAGAAAGGACTTCAAAAGTACATGTGTCTATATATACCGATACATATACACATACAAACACGTATACACATACATGCGCATACGTACTTACATATACACATATACATGTGCATACACGTGAAAGCAAACCTATGCGTATGGATGCATATGTACATGCATGTATACGTGTACACAAACACAAGCACATGTATAAGAAAATGTAAATGCACGCCCGTATGAATATGCATATATCTCAACACATGTATACACAACCACATATATATATATGCATACATGAACATATACGTATACAAATGTGTATATATGTGTTTGTACATACATATAGATGTGTGCATACCAAATGCGCGTGATGGTACATATATACATGCATACATGTATAAATCTATAGATATACCAAAGCGTACACATATACACCTACACACACATAGACATGTACACCAATATATGCATACACATATAGATATGCACATCCGTATGCATACACATGCACATATACTTACATATGCGCATACATATATTTACACACCTATACATGTGTAACTATATGTACACATATACATATGCACTTGTTTATGTATACATGTACAGAAGCGTATATCTATATACAAATACATATATATATATGTATATATACACATACATATACGCAAACATATATTTACATATACGTATGTATATGTATACAAATATCTATATGCATACATACATATACATGGCAAAACTGAAATCCAACGATGACCTCACCCTCGAACACTGCGTATCACTGCAGCAGAGCTGCGCCGCAGCGTGAGACAGGAAAGCATGACGGCTGGAGCGCTGTCGGAAGCAGAATCACAGGCGCAGCCTGCGATGCCATACCGTGAAACAGACGTAGAGGGCATAGGGCGCGGATTTGACGCACAAGAGGGCGAGGCGGGCGCAAGGGGATGATGAAAGCTGAGGAAGAGGTGAGGCAAGGCCCCCCGATGACGGCGCGCGGGCGCGGGCGCGGGCGTTGGCGGCGGCGGGAGGGCGCCGTATCCTGTAGAGGCGCTCCCCCGAGATCGTGCCCACCTGCGGCCCCGGACATCCGGCCGCTCCCCATTGTTTTCGATGCGTGGGCCCCAGGAGAGGTCTGGACCACTGCCCCGGGGACGGATTCTCGTCCTGCGCCGTTCTCTGACGGTCCTGGGGCCCGGCGAGGGCCCCCGGAGGCCGAGAACGGCCACAAAGCTGCCCGATCCAACCTTCTGGAGCGTCGGCTCTCTGGGGAGCCGCCGGGCGCCGGTGGCGACGACGGCGGCGGCGACGTGGTCGTCGGCGGCGGCGCCTCCTCCTCCTCCTCCTCCTCCTCCTCCTCCTCCTCCTCCTCCTCCTCCTCCTCCTCCTCCTCCTCCTCCTCCTCCTCCTCCTCCTCCTCCTCCTCCTCCCCCTCCCCTCTCCAGGAGGGGCACTCGGCACGCCGCGGCCAGGCGTGACGCTCGGGAGGCCGGCCAGGGCGGGCCGCGGGATGGAGACCCTTCGGGTGGCAGCTCCTGGGAGCCTCCCATCCCATCTCTGAAGGGGCCCTGGGACACACAAATAAATACACACGAATAAAAGGATTCCCTGTATTTTCCTATATTTTCGGGTTTTTGTCTCCCCCCCCACTTCCCATATTTTCCAATATTTTCTGGGGAATCGAGGATATAATTGTGTCTGTGTGTTCTTTTCCCTCCTGAATCTCGTCGGCTCTTGCGAGGCGACGCTGGTCGGCGCCAGATCGACGCCAATCGGCATTATGAAATCGACGCTCTCGTCGACGCCAACCGACGCTGAGTCGGCGCTGTCTCGTCGACTCCCAGGCGCCAATCGACACTCATCGACGCGGAGGACGGATCTAAGAAGACATACCCAGGCTCCCAGCATTTGCTTTAAGTCGGGCCTGTCCCCCTACGGGGGGATTTTCGACGGAAAAAATTTAAAAAATACCCAAAAAATCATCAAAAAATAATCCAAAAATAGTCTGGGGACTATTTTCTAAATATTTGTTGACCTTTTGGGGGTATTTTGGGGGTATTTTTACTTGTTCGTCGAAAATCCCCCTGTAGGGGGACAGGCCCGACATCACATTTGCTACTGAAAGACCCGGGAGCCAGTGGCGGGCCATCCTCGGAGTTCGGTCGGGGGCGGGCGCGAGGGCTGCGGGGAGCCCGCACACAGAGGAGGAGAGGGGCTGGCGGGAAGCTCCGCCCTCTCTCCGGCGCTGAGCCGGGGCCGCGGGAGGGGTGCGGAGGAGGAGGAGGAGGAGGAGAAGGAGGAGAAGGAGGAGGAGGAGGGGGAGGAGGTGGAGGAGGAGGAGGAAGAGGAGGAGGAGAGAGAGTAAGGGCGGAAGGGCAGGGGGAGGTGATGTGGGAAGGGGAGCGTTTACGGGGGGGGCGGGCAAAGGGGAAGGGGGGCAGAGGGGAGGCGAAGGGGTAGGAGTAGAAGGAGGGAGGAATAGATGCCAGCTTATAGCACCGCGCTCCAGCTTTTGCTGGTATACCGGAGTGCTAGCACGTTCCCCTCACTCCCAGAAAAGAGATTCAAGCACGACGGTGCCATGTCAGACGAGTGAAGAAGAGACTAGAACATCAAGATAGACGACAGCAGTCAACCTGGAAGAGGACTGGCAGTTTCAGGCAGACCTCTCTCAAGGGCCGATGGTGGGAAGAGGCAGGCCCCGCAGCCGGAGTCGTCACCGAAGAGGGAGCTGCCTCGATGTCTTCCACTTGGCCAGTGTAGCACTGCTCCCCGATCATCCTCAGCTACAGTCGGGGCGTTGACCTAAGGAACCCTAAATAAGGAACGAGGCCCTTTTTTTCCATAAGTTCACCTTCGATTTCGCATCGAAAACCTAAGGAAAATCCAAGGCAAGCTGCGAAACGATTAAGGAACACGGAGCCCCTCCCCAATCAAAAGGGTTCCTTCTTCAGGGCCCCGACTGTATGCGCGGTAACGCATTGCTTTGATCCACCCAGCTCAGCGCTCTCTCAGATTGCGCTCACACCAGTCGCCCTCCCATAAATCATCGCCATCCACTCGACACTCGTTTCAACCCTGCTGGCGGCCGTTTGCCTTCTGTTCCCGCAAATTCGACCTGTTCGCCGCCTCTGTTCGCCGCTGTGTTCGCCGCCTACCGCTCCGATGCAATATCACATGTCTCGAGCGATCTTGTCCCTTCAATTCGTGTAGCACTCACTCAAACGTGCATCTCTCGCTGCTTTGCACATGCGAGCATAAGACGTTCAATCATGCACGCACGGGCGCGCGTGCATGCACGCATGTACATGCGCAAGTGGATTCGCACGTGCAAGTAAATATGTTTGTGTGTGCACACATGGATGTGAAAATACCCGCGCAGAGGTCTGGCGAGGGTATCTGCACCTGCGCCTGCTGGAGTGCGCGAATGCGTGCACCAGCATGCGTCCGCGTGCCCCTGCGCGCGCACCCCCGCGCCGCTGCCAAGAGGCCGGAGCCCCTGCCCGAGCGTGCAGCACCAAGTTCTCTCCTAGCTCGGAGGCTCGGAGAGCCGCCACGGTCGCGGGGAGGCGGCGCTTCACCCTCAAGTTGACATCCGCACTACAGTGGAGGTCAGTCCACAAGAAACCTGCCACAAGAAGCCCAACCCTGAGACCCCAGGGCGTCCATTAAGTTCTGGTGTGGGAACGTCGCGCTCTCCATCGCAAAGCCATGGAGACTCGAGAAACCCAGGGCACCCTGGAGGCAAGCAGGGTTTTTCTTGGCATGGGTCTCCACTGTACGCTGTGTACCCAGAACGGCACCGAGCATCGGAACACCGAGGATCTTTATCAGCACCCAGCTTCCTAACAGCTAAGATTCGACGTGTCAGGCGATCCAAGCGGCGGCACCGTCGGCCTCAACAGCCCACCGTGGTCTGCGACATGGCCCAACGGAATCGACGAAGCAAAGAGGTGATCATATGGCCGCCCAGGGCAAACGGACTGCAGCCGTTGTTCAATTCAAAAGACAGCACGAGATACTGCTAGACGCCATCATAGTGGGTCGTCCATCGCCTGGCTTGAGCGAGAGCGCACTGGGCGTCAAAGCGAGGAGCAGTCCGCTTGAAGCTTCCCGCACGTCTAAGAAACGAAGAAACCGAGTGCACGTCGGAAGGTCACGAATGTAGCGTACAACTCAACGCTGGCAGATTGAGTCTGCTGGAGAGAGATGCTGGGCGCGCGACGATGACACGGCACGGTATGCTGCCGGCAGTACAAGACGAGCCTCTATTGACCGTCATGCACTCTGTGACGGCACGGTTCGCACAGGCTAGTGTACAAGCACGCCTGTGGAAACGGCTGGCCCACAAGACCCCTGAGAATCGTACTTGGGCCCATGAACTATCGACCTAAAGAGCGCACACGACCCCAGGTATGCGGCGACCCATTGAAAGCCAAGAGCAGGCTTGCCACCTTGACCCCGCACGCGCAAACGCACGTGTGCACCTTGTTATCCAGAACTGCTGTTTGCCCAGACGTCGGGGCATGCGGCTTCTGAGCAGCGAGGAATACGGGCGGCCCAGAGGGCAGCATGGCGTGAAAAGTCAGGCGGACGCAACGGACAAGGGATGCAGAGTGGAGGCAATAGCCTCGCGCAATATTCATACATACACACACATACATGCATGCATGCATACATGCATATATGCCTACATACATACATATAAACGTACATACATACATACCTACCTACCTACCTACCTACATACATACATACATACATGCATGTATGCATACATGCATACATAGATACATACATACGTACGTACGTACGTACGTACGTACATACATACATACATACATATCTGCCTACCTACAGGCATACATACAGATATACATACATGTATACACACATACATACAGACAGACAGACAGACAGACATACATAAATACATATGATGTATGTCTACAGACATATATACACGCAAGCATGCATACATGTGTGATGTTCCTATATATGTGCGTGTGTATGGTCGTGTGTCGGTGTGCATATACACGCATATATATACATACTTATATAGAGAGAAAGAGTACAGAAGTATACATATAGATATATACACACGTAGCTATATGTATATACATGCATATATCTACATATACCTATATATATATATATATATTTCTCGGAGCTAGACCGAAGCCTGTGCAGATGAAGCGAATTCAACAAACATGCACGCGCCATCAAAACGACAAGTCGAATCAACCCTCGGCTCGTGCGAGGGACAGGGCCACGCGGTCGAGCCCGACTTTGCTCCGCAGTCTCTTGCGAGGACGAATGTCCTCCCATCTGACTGCGTTGGGGGGGCACATTGGCCTCCCCCTCAAGATATTGGAATCCAACTTTTGGACAGTAGGAGTGGGGAGGAACGGTCGAGGACACCGCTCTTCGCTTCGCAGGCTGGCTGGAGAGGGGCTGGGTACGCCCTCTCTTTTGGGCAGCGCCGCGCTGTATGCGGTCTGCCTGGTTAGCCTCTTCTTGCTCGTCTGGCGGGAGGGGGCTCGCGAGTCCAGCACGAAGCAAATCACTACACAAAATGGAGCGGCGCCCACGCCTCCTGGTTTCGATCGCATGGGCCAGGAGCCGGGGACGAGAGGAGAACTGCATGCGACAAATCGGGCACACTCCTGACTTGGGGAGGTACGCCAGGAACGGAGACCGAAGCTTGTGCTTCGCCCTCTGATGGGAGGCCAGCGCCTTCTCAGTCGGGAAGCGCGCGGGGCAGGAAGGGCACTGAAAGCGAGCAGCCGCAGCGGGCAGCTCTGTCTTCTCGACAGGGCTGTCGAGAGGCATATCCTGAATAATCATGGACTTTACAAGCGATCTCCACTGGGCGGGGAAACTGATGACAAACGAAGCCCATGCTTCAGCATTTGTCTTCGGCGAGCCAAGCTCGGCCAGTCTGGCCGCGTGGAAACTCGCCAGGAGCTCAAGATCACTGAGAACAAGCCGTGTCCAAGGAAGCTGCTTCTCCTCGGGGCCCGCCCGGATAGAGAGCAACGAAGGGACATGGGGAGGGGCAAACCTCAGGAGGGAGGACAAGAGGAGGAGCCGGCGCTGACTGATCAGACACTGCAGGCTAGGGCAGCCCAAGGCCTGCCGGACATGTCGATCGCTGCCGTGCCCAGATGCTTTGAACCTGGACGAATCAGCTATGCGCCGGAGGCCGCGCATGTACACAGCGTTCAATTTCACATACGCCTTTCGTGGGAGATTGCTCCACGTGTGAACATTATAAATCAATCTGGAGAGCACGAGTGAAGAAAATAGCGATAATCTCACTTGGCGGCCGATCCGCCTACATCCAAACACCTTCGACGACAGAGGGCAGTAGGAGGCCATTGCTGTGGCAGACCTGTGTATCGCGTCCGGCACGAGATCGCCGTCGCGGCAGATCATGGACCCGAGGTGCTTGTACTCGCTGACGACCCGCAGGGGGGGCGACTGGTTGGTGAGCTTGACGGTCATACCATCATCTCGGATTTGCTGCATGTGCTTCACCGCGCCAGTGCCGCGGAGGATGATGAAACACTCCGTTTTCCCGGGCTTCCAGTTGATCTGAAACCCGAAATACTGGAAGGTCTTGCACAGGCGGTGCATCAGCTTCGGGACTGCTGCCATCATGATGCGGGGGGAGGTGGCGGCGATAAAAATGCACTCGTCGTCCACGATGTTAAAGAAAGACCTCATCGACCTTGGGATTGTCCTCTGGGTCAGCCGGTCCACAACCTATATATACATATATATATATATATATATATATCCGCCACCGTGCCCTGAGGCACGAATTGGTGTGTCCTGAGGTCCGTTGCCCCATCCCCTGAGCCTCAGCCCTCAACCCTGAGTATGATTTAAGAGGCCCGGATCCCTAAATCTCAATCTCCAGGGGCTTCCCACATGCCTCCTGGGCTCACCCTTGTCTTCTCGCGTGACCTTTCCGGGGCCAAGAGGGCTCCAAGACGAGCCAAGAGGGCCACAGGAGGCCTCCAAGACGGTCCAAGAGGGCTCCGAGTCGCCGACAGATCGTTCCAAGCCGCTCCAGATGGCCTCCAGACGGCCAAAGACGCCTCTAAGACGCCCCAAGAGACCTCCAAGAGGCTTCCCAAGAGGGCCCCAAGAGGCTCAGGTTGTTGACAGATTTTGGCCTTTTTATTCGGCCTCCCGACGCTCCAAGACGGCCCAAGAGGCCCCCGAGATCGCTCCAAGACGGCACATGAGGGCGTCAAGACGGCCCAGGAAGGCGCCAAGGTGGTCCAAGAGGCCTCCCATGAGATCCCAACGAACATCCAATAGGCCTCATATCCACAACCCAGGCACAGTGGCGGGACTTCCCGTCAAGCAGCTGGATAAGAAAACTGTAGTAGCATGTGTGTATGAATATGCACGTAGGTGTGTGTAACCAATGTGCTCGCTGCAGATGGGGTACACGGTGAATAGATGAGCATGCACTCACGCGCTGGTATGTACAACTACGTACGCATGTGTTCCACGTGTGCAAGCATTGAACGCGCCACTACGCATAGACCAGAAATGCCTTGGTGATTCACGTGCGTTTGCTGCAGCCGCATGCGTGACTCCACCCTCCCCCCACACTGCCTCTCCACCCTCCCCCCCCGCGCTTGTGGATCCGTTTTGGAATAATGTTGGCCCTCTGTGGGGGCTCTCTTGGGCCCTCCTGGAGCCATCTTGAGGCCTCGGAGGCAGAAGCGAAAGGGTGAGAAGGCAAAAATCATGTATTTCACGCGGGTGCTTGAAGGATTTGGGTCTCTTGGCGGCGTCTTCCTTGGGAGGCCCTGTGGCCCTTGAACCCGTCCTGAGGGGGTCTTAGAGCATCTTGGAAGCCATCTTAAGCGATCTTGCGCTATTTGCCCTAAGGGGAACGAGGACCAGGAGGAAGAGGAGGAGGAGGAGGAGGAGGAGGAAAAGGAGGAGGAGGAGGAGGAGCACCCCTTTCCTGCTGTACGCTCCCCCTCCACATCTCCTCCACGTCCCTCCCCCGCCCTCCTCTCCCCTCGCCCCTCCATTACCACCCTCCCCACCCGATCCCCTGTGGGTAGGCGAGATGCTCAGGTGGCGGTCCTCCTGATTCTCATGTTCATCAGCGGGTCCTGCGCCTGAGAATCCCATCCCGTCGACTACAGCATAGGCACGCGCCGCGGGAGGGAATCGACAGACAACGAATAGGGACAAGGCGACGAGGGTGATTAGGGCGAGCAGCAACGAGGAAGAAAGAAGGGTGCCTCTCGCAGCGAGCACTGAGCACTTTGGTGGAAGTTGTCATGACGGTAAGCACCCGAATGTCATTGGCAGGAGGTCGTACGGGAAGCGCGCGGTCGAAAGACCTGCAAAACAGTTGACACCGTAGACCCCAAACAGTGAGTTTGTGTACTGTTGATGTGCGGGCCATGTGGTTGAATCAGTATGGTGCGAGCTGCGCGGTGGAAGCAAAGTGGCGCACCCTACGTCGTGCAAGGGCACTACTGTGGGAACTGGGTGGTAAACGCTGTGTGGTGAACGCTATGTGGTGCACGCTGTGGGGTGTAAGTTATGTGGTGCAGGCAGCGTGGTATAAGCTATGTGGTTCAGGCGATGTTCAGGGCGGCCAAGAGGGGGGCGTCCAAGAGGGGGGGCGCAAATCATGGCCGGCGGCATGTGCGCCGCACAGGGGGGTGGGGGCCGGGGACGCATTGAACCAAGAAGAGGCGCCATGAAATCTGGGGAGATCTCATGGCCCCCGCCATGACATCCACCCCCCCTCGTCATCACCCCCCTCGCTCGCCGCCGAATGTGGTTTGGGAGTCATAACTCGGGTCTCTGACGGCCGTTCGGGAAGATCCGGGAACCCCTGGAACGCGAGCACTGCGGGGCCAGATCGGGCACGGCAGGAGAAGGACAGGCGCGAAAGGAAGGGGGGGAAGCCCCAGGCGGCAGCCAATGTAGTGGCGGCCTGCGGCGGCCCTTGTGGCAGGGGCGGACGCGTGCCTCAGGTTTAACGCTGGTCGCCGCTCCGTCGGCGACCATCAACGGGCGCGACCGAGCGGCGACGTGCGTCATGACACACATGAGGCTGGCATGACACACTTGAACCTCGAATGCTCCCGGATACACTGGGTTGGCCGTTGAAGCCCAGGAAGGATTCTGGTATTCCTGAGCTCTACGGTGTTCCTAACACTGATGGCGGAGACAGGTGCCCCTGCACACGGGCCACATACACACACTCCTCGTGCTGCGATCAAGAAACAGTGCTTACGGGAAGTTCGCTGCGCATCATCTGCTCTGAATGGCTCCCCTCGAGTTCGGTGCCATCAACAGCCAGCAAATTCCCCAAGCACTCCCAAAGGCCTCCTGGAACTCCTGGGTGCTCTCGGGAATGCCTCTCGCGGCAATCCCGTATCTCCGTCTCCTCACTCTGCGCCCTCCTCTTGCTCCTCCTCCTCCTCCTCCTCCTCCTCCTCCTCTTCCTCCTCCTACTCCTCCTCCTCCTCCTCCTCCTCTTCCTCCTCTTCTCCTCTTCCTCCTCCTCCTCTTCCTCCTCCTCCTCCTCCTCCTCCTCCTCCTCCTCCTCCTCACTCTGCGCTCTCCCCCGCGCACATCCAGCACCCCTGGCTGACCACAAGTGGAAGGTGGCCGGGCCCCTGCCTTGAGCTCCGCCGACAGATCGACCAGCTCCTCCTCGTCGTTCGCCCGGTCATTCGGCAGGGCTGCCATCCCTAACGAGAAGAGGAGGAGGGGGAGGAGGAGGAGGAGGAGGACGGGGAGGAGGAGGAGGAGGAGGAGGAGGAGGAGGAGGAGGGAGGGGCAGGAGGAGATACTCATGAGGAGGGGGGGGAGTCGGAGCGGCTGGGGGGGGTCTGATGGGGCAGCCGAATAAAAAGAGGGGCTGGCGCTCCGACTTGAACGTGCAAGCAAACATCAGAACCAGTTGCTGCAGATACTGACGCAAGTGGAAGCCAAGGTAGCGCAGCGTACACGTGCGTCATCGGCTGATCATAAACGGAAGCAGTGCCAGAGGCACTATGGTCGAAACCCAGTGCGGATACCAATATCAACGTCAAAGCTAAATGCTAAAGCGAAAAAGTGTACACGCAGTCACCTTCCGAAATGAGCATGAAGAGATACACATCGACAAAAACGCGAGCGAGCGGAATCGACGCCACTCACGACGACATTGCAAATGTGAGCAGTGCTACAACTGACTGGACGTGTCAACTATGGAATGCTATTTCATACTCGTTATGAAGGTAAGCGCGCCTGACTCATCTGCTCCAACGCTAAAGCACACGATCATAGACCGCTTACGCAGTTAAGTTCGGAAATCTATTCCGTCGAAAATGTCAGTTCGGCTGGGCGTATTCATGTGCATGCTTTTGACTTCAGCAGCACGCCATAAAAAAAACTCCCAGATCACACATTTCAGCGCACAACACAAAACATATATATATATACATATATACAAATACATATACATATACATATACATATACACACACATTTTGGGGCGTCGCGGCCCCGCGCGGCAACGGGGCGTAGAAAGCCGAATGCAAGCAGCGTAACGCGCGCATCTACGCACGGCCGAGCTCTCCGGGACCACCTAGGGTTTCGCAGCTGGCAACAGCCATCACCATCCAGGCCTGGATGGCGGGGAGGGTCAGTGTGCGGACGAAACTACGGTGCACATACGAACACACACACACACACACACTGCACTTGAAAGTGCGATCACATGCCAGAATACTTCAATTCATACGTAGATGTGCCGGTTGACATGTAAACACCATCCAACGCCGTCTTGTCACTCGTCTGAGTGGGCCTCAACACATCGGACAGCGAAGATTACACTACCAGCGTGCATTCAAAAAGTGCTACCTAATGAGCACACATACACGTGAGTGATGGAACTTAATTTGAGCACTTGCGCGAGTCCAGTGAACATGCAAGGAAATATGTACTGGATCGTTCACGCACGATGCAGATGCGCAGGCACGCGTGGTTGGGCACTACTTCCCGAAGAGAAGCTGTACTAGCTGGCCAGGTGCCTCTCTCTGAAACGTAGACGACCGATAAGAGTCGCCCTTCAAGCCATGCACTCTAGAACCAGAGAAGCCTCCTCGGCTCCCGACGCCCGTGCCGCCCACTCTTCACGCATCCCATACCTACCCTCCCTCGGAGTGTCATTACCTGCAGCCTTCACGACTCCACGCGTGTTGTCTGCAAGAGTTCGCCACGACTCATGCTCCCGATTTCGACCAGGCCTAGATCGCAACCGTCCTCCTTGGACATCTGACTCCACTGGGTCTGGTTGTGAGCTGGCTGCTGTTCGCAAGCCTGTCACTCCTGGCTCATCGACCTGCTCAGGTGTCGTCCCTGCCCTGAACAGCCCCGAGCTCTCGGCCCCTCCTTGTGCGCAGGGGGAGGCGGCACGAGGCAGCTCCAGCAGCCCCGCTCCGGAAGCAACTAACCCTCGCGGTTCGAGCCGCAGGCAGTCGGCGGAGCGACGCGAGGACAACGAGCACACCAAAAGGGGTGTGGCAGGCGCGGAAAGCTGCACCAGGATGGTCGCGTGCAAACACGGCGCCATGCAGCCATGTGGTGGTGACCATTGCGGGTACCGGCAGAAGCACGACGGATACTGGCAGCAAAATCTCCGAGTCTCATGATGCACTCGCTGATAGGTACACCAGAGGACTCTGACCGCTTGGGGATCCGGCAGGGAATCCCCTGGCGGAAGCGAACCCCTCTCAGGAGCAAACATCAGACCAAGCCAGGGTCAAGTCGTTACTGAGCGGCAGATGCACGGGTCAAAAAAATCTTGTGGAAGAAATGGCAAAGACAGAATACCCACACAGGAGTGCCGACCCAGAAGCCCTCAGAGATTACTGGCACAAGGGCTTCGAAGCGCAGCGATCCTCTGAACATAAACTATGCATCAAGCCAAACCTTGGCCTCGGCGACGATTCCGTTCGCCACCACGGGCCCATAGTAACCCGACCTGCCCATTTCCCTGGTCTCGCCGCCGATTCAGTTTGCCCTCCTGGCGACCAACCAGGAACAACGCCACCACCAACCATCATTCCTGTCAGAAATCATGACCATATTAGTCAGCGCAGGCCTCAAGCAGTGATTTATGGCACTGTGGAGGCGAAGGATATGGGGAGTGAGCTGTGGAGGGTTAGCTATGTTGTGTAATAGATGCGAAGTAAGCAACGAATGTGGTGTGAGCTATGTTGCGTGAGCCACGTGGTGTGGTTCATGTGGCTTAGCCGTGCTGCGAAAGCTGTGCGGTGTGAGCTGAGGCCAGGTTGTGCCAGCCATCCGGTGTGATCTGTGTAAGATATCCGGCGCAGGCTATGCTAGGCGGCGAGCCACGGGGGGAAGTGAGAAGGGGCGTGCCTTCTCAGAAGGTTCGGAAGTCCCCCGGACTTCTGAGAAGCTTTCTAAGCCTTCCCCGAAGACAGAAAAAACTTCTCGGAAGGCGCGAGGGCCTCTGAGAAGTCCCGCCGCCTTCTGAGAAGGCCTTCTCCTTCTCACTTCCCCCCCTCGCTCGCCGCCGATGTGCGGTGCAGGCTGTGTGGTGCAGGCTGTGCTGCCCGCCCAGGGCGCGGGGGCGCCCGCGAGCGCCCACGAGGCGCCCACGGGGCGGGCAACACGGGGCGCCGCCGAGGCAGAACCCTGGCGGACCCACCCGGGGTCACTGGGGCGCCCGCGGGGCGCCCACAAAGGCGACCCGCGGGCGGGCACGGGGCGACAACGTGGGAAAGTCTCGGCGGACCCTAGGGGGCCACATGCGGACCCTACCCCTACCCCCCACGACTTCTGCGGGGGAGGGTGGGGTTCACTTCGCTCGGGAGCTCCCGAGCGAAGTGAACCCCACCCTCCCCCGCAGAAGTCGTGGGGGGTAGGGGTAGGGTCCGCATGTGGCCCCCTAGGGTCCGCCCACTTGCTTGGGCAGCAACAGCAAGAGCCCCGAAGTGCAAGCGCTCTTTCTGGGGAAGACGCACTCTGCGGCGAAGCCAACTCCGCCGACCCACTGGGAGTTCCTCGGCGCGTGCAAACTGCTGTCCCGCCTATGACTCCTCCCCCGAGAGCCCCGTCTGGCCAGTTTTTTGGGGGGGGTCCCAGTCAACGGCCCCAGCAGACTCATCTGGCCCTGGGAAGCTCCGAGGCGCGCACAAATCTTCCAAGAAAGCGCCACGACGGTCCAGAAGTGCTGCGGGACGGCCCAGTGCACGTCCAACAAAGCCCCAGACGGCCTCAATGCAGCCCAGAGGCTCCCAAGACGGCCCAAGAGAAACTCAGGTATGCCTGCAAGAGGGCGCAAAGAGGCAAAAAACAATCATGCTCCTTCAGTGTTGGTTTACATGGATGACGCAATCGCCTTTTCGATATTAAGAGTGTCTTGGACAACCCAAGATGCCCCCAAGGTCGCCCCCAGACGGCTCATAGAGCCCCCAGGAGGGCCCCAAAACAGCCCAACAGGCCCCTATGGCCCGAAAGGCCTCCCAGACTGCCCGAGAGAGCAGATGAGGGCCCAGGAGGAGCCCCAGAGGGGAGACTGGAAGTGGCCCTGGGGGCCCTCACCCACAAGATGGCCCTCAAGACCTTCAACATGCCCTCGGGAGAGCTCCAAAAGGCCCCCAACAGGCCCCCCGAGGCCTTCCCAAGTTTCCCAAGGGGGCCCCAAAACAGCCCAGAAGGGCTCTCTTCGAGCACGGCTGCGGGCTGCCCAAGCGGACCCGGCGCCCAGACCCTTCTGCGGAAACGCCCCCCGGAACCCCCGGAAGTGATGCACCCGGGGCTCCTACGAGGGGCCAGCGGCGCGGCCTGATCATGTTCGGGCGCCCCACGAGCACGCTGCATCGTCTGTTGGTGAAGACGGCGGGGGTGGCATCACAGTGCCCGCAGGCCCACCATCCCTATCAAAGCACATGCAACATGGCTGCGGGCGCGCACGCCATACAACATGCTGGCAAACCCCCACCGTCACTTCGCGACCAGCCAGGCCAGCTTCCCGAAGGGGGGGGGCCACCGTGGCTCCCGCTCGGCGCGCTCCACGAGCCCACGCGGCGGGGCCCCCTGCGGGGCCCGGGCGCCGTGTCAGGCTCAAGAAGTAGGTAGAAACTTTGAGTAGGAAGGCGTTGACAGTAGATTGGGTTCGGGCCCGCCCACAGAATAACAAACAGCAGCCAAACCATGTCGGTTCTTGAAGCAGGAAGGCGTTCGAAGTAGATTGGGCCCTGGGAATCCAAAAAAGAACTACGTTCAACGAGCGATGTTTATACACATCCACTGCGCCTCGGGCGTCTGGGGAAGGGAGCACGAAACTCCAAGCTGCAGTGGATACATTTGAGGCCAGTATACAAGAAACCTTCCACAAGAAACCCAACCCCGAGACCCCAGGACGTCCATTGATTTTGGTGTGGGGACGTCACGCTTTCCATGGCAAAGCCGTCGAAACCCCAGAAGCCCAGGGCACCCTGGAGCCAAGCAGGGTGTTTCTTGACATGGGCCTCCACTGTAAGGCAGGACGGACACGGGACGCACAGAGACATAGCGGTACCTGTGTGGCGGATTCCGGAGACCCTGAGCCCAAAATCGTTCTCATCTCTTGGGGACGGCATCTTTCACCTCCGCCAACTCCCGCCGCCCTTCCGCCGGCTTCCGCCTGCGGAGGCGGCCTCGTTCTGCTTCCGCCGACCTTCCGCCGCCCTTCCGCCGCCTTCCGCCGCGGAAGAGATGGCAGCTCCTTCTATCCTCGAAGGCAAGGCCCTTTGTGGAACGCCCCATGTGTCCTACTTGGAGGCGCGCGTCCGACCCAAACACATAGCATTCCCGTCTTGTAGTACATCGGTTCCCGAGCGGTGTGGCAAGAAAGCGCCGGCCACGACGCATATATTACAAGACTTCTCGGTGCGCGCGTCGCCCCTGGGGGGGCGGCGCACACATAGCATTAGTATGTTGGGGTGACGTCGATGGCAGAGTAAAGCAAGACGGGCAGGCCAGGCAGACGGGAAGGCTTCCTATGGCCCAAGTGGGCTACTGCGGAGCCTCAAGAGAGCGCTATGGGTGGGGGGGCCTGCGGTCCTGGGCCGTGTCCGGCCCCGACGAGCTTGGCAGAGCAAAGCAAGACGGGCAGGCTAGGCAGACGGGAAGGCTTGCTAAAGCCTCAGTGGGCTAATGTGTCGCCGCGCCGTTTGCTCTGAACGCGTCCAGGTATTCCACATGTCGCAAGAAAGTGGGAGAGGTCACATGTTACGGGGACTGATTTGACCTGTCTTGGAGGGTTTCAGGGGGGTCTGGGCAAAAGGCCGCATGTTCATGACTAATCTGGGGGGTGGTAACATTGCCCGTCTGGGATGGTTTTGACCCCCTCCCCTGTATTACGAAATGTGGAGTAGACGAAGCCGGCACCGCGGCAAACCACACTCCTAACTTTGCGTCTGAGGAAGACATTGCCCTGGTGGCCACGGCGCCCTCTCAAAGACGGAAGGCCGCGCGTCGGAACAAACGGCGCGCCGACACGTGGAGCCTTAAGGAAATGCTAATGGGGGCGCAGACCGCGAGGCACAGCGGCAAGCCCCCGGCTCCTGGAGGCTCCTAGGAGGCCCCACGTGGCTCAAGATGGCTCCAGGACAGCTCAAGACGGGCCCAATTGACCCCAGGATGGGCCCCAGAAGGCCCAAGCCAGCTCAAGGATGAGCCAAGATGGGTCCAAGAGGCCTTCGAGACGCCCCAAAAGGGCCCCGAGAGGACCCACAAGAGAACCCCAGAGGCAAAAACCGTTGATTTCCCATAGGTGCTTCAAGAATTTTAACGGTCTCGCCTTTTCGAGCTTCCGACGCTCAAAGACGGCCCCAGAGGCCCCCTAAAAATCGCTCCAAGATGCCCCAAGAGGGCCCAAAGGGCCCCAAGAGGGGCCAAAAAGGCTGCAAGACGGGCCGAGGGACTTCTAAAACGGCCTCAGGGGGCCCCAAGAAGGTCCCATGAGGGACTTTGGAGAGGGAACGCGGACTGTCGTTTCATGTTCTGCGCCACAAGAACCCCCAAGAGTCCACAAGAGCCCCCCCGAAAGCCCCCAACAGGGCCCAAGGAGACCCCAGAAAGCTCCAGGAAAGCCTTCCAGGAGGCGACCAAGAGGAGGCCTCGAAGACGCCCCAGCGTCGCCACGGCATGATTCATTGGCGTGCAGGGTTTCCCCCCTGGGGGGGGGGGCCCACCATGACTCCCGCCCTGTGGGCTCAATACGCCGAGCTGGCCTATACCCACCCGTTTCCATGGCATCGCCGCCGATTCGGTTCGCCCTCCCTCGGCCCAGACTGAAGCCGACTCGCCCCTGCCCTGGCGCGTCGCCGACTCCTCTCGCCGCCCATACTAAGCCCTGTTCTGCCCGACTGGCCCCTTGCCCCCGGAACGCCGCTGATCCCGCACGCCGCCACTAGCCCCGTGCAGCCCCAGCTGGCCCCATCTGCCCTGGCTCGCCGCAGGCTCCTCTCTGGAGATAAAAAAACCCATAAGAACCACCCCGACAAGCGAAGCCGTTTCATAAACGCACCCCAGGAAGGAATCGAACAGGGCAGGGCCGTTCAGTAAACCCCCAGGGCCGTTGCGTAAACGCCCGTTGTCGGGGTCTGGGTGGTTTCTCCTCCCTTGACTTTCGCCGCCGCTGGCCCCGTTCCGGTCGAGCGAAAGGGGGGGATAGCAAAGGGGGGGTTGGAGAATCAGCTCACGCAGCTGATTTTCCCGGCGCCTCCAGGCGCCGGAGGCGGCTGTGTATCGAGAAAGGGGCCCCTCGGTGAGGCCGAAACCGGCTGCACGCAGCAAATTTCGTACCCCCCCCCTTTCCCAGTCCCCCCCTTTCGCCGCCGCTGGCCCCATTCGCACCCCCTTCCGGCCACGCCCGGCCCCAGGCTGTCCCCAGGACGCCTCTGCGCGCCGCCCGCTCCGGGCGCCGCCCGCGCCGCGCGGCCCTGCCCCGCCCGCGTCCCGGTCCCTTGCCGGGGGCTCGCCGCCGATCCCACTCGCTGCCAGGAAAACTCCAGCTGACGAGGAGGAGGAGGCGGAGGAGGACGAGCAGGAAGGAGGAGGAGGAGGAGGAGGAGGAGGAGGAGGAGGAAGAGGGAGGAGGGAGGAGGGAGGAGGAGGAGGAGGAGGAGGAGGAGGAGGAGGAGGAGGAGGAGGGAGGAAGTAGGAGGACGTTTGAAGGCGGATTCGGGAAGACAAATTGAAAATTGTCACACACACACACACACACACACACACACACACACACACACGCACACACGCACACAAAGAAGGAACTCAAGAGTAGTCGAAACATATTCGCGAAATCGTCCCAAGACTGCGCTTTCAACTACGCTTTGAATACTTGTCCTGCAGAAGGGACACGCCCGACTTAAAGCTGGCCCCTTCCCCGGGCGCGCCGCTGATCACACTCGCCACCCCTGGACCCCCGACAGGCCCCGACTGCGTCGCATCCTGCCCTGGTGCGCCGCTGACTCTGGCTGTCGCCACGAGCCCCGGCTGGCCACATCTGGCCCCTTGGCCTGGCGCGCCGCCAGCCCCGCTGGCCTCCTCCATAACCCGACTACCCCCCGATCTGACCCCTGCCCTGGCGCGCCGCCAACTCCGCTTGCCGCCACCAGCCCTAGCTACCATCTTGCCCTGACGCGTCGCCGACTCCACTCGCGGCCACCAGACCCGAGTACCCTCGACTAGAACCTTGCCCTGGCGTTCTGGAGATTGCGGTCGCCGCCACTGGTCCCGACTAGCACCGACGAACCCTTTGCCCTGGCGCGCCGCCGGCGCCTTTCGCCGCCGCTAGCCCCGATCAGCCCCTTGCCCAGCAGATAAAGATGTATTGCCCGATCAATACTTGCACTGAGTGGCTCTTACTTCTTACTTTTTGGAATACACACGCCAGTGCCAAATCTCTCTCTCTCTCTCTCTTTTCCTCTCAGAACCTCTGGAATCTGCGGCCGACCGTGTTCCTCCAGGTGCACCTGCTGGCGCGCGCAGAGTCTAGATGTTACGCGGATGCTCAGACACTTATACTGTAGCTAGCGAGTTGGCTCTCTGTGGCCGACAGGGGCGCGCTCCGCGCGCTGCGTCGCGACAGGGGATGCCGGCTACACGCAGACACCGCAGGAGAGAGGGCGAGGGCAGGAGCAAGGTTGGGATGGCCGGCACCCGCCGAGCCGACGGACGGCGGGGCGCGGATCGCCGGCCACCGGGCAAGGGCGCGGGCGCGTCAGGACGGCAGGCACAGGGGCAGGATGCTCGTGAAGCAGTGGAAGTACCTCTCCGACATCTGGGGCGTGCCCTCCGGCATCGTGTCGGTGGTGACGTGCACCTCCCCTGGCAGTTTCCGCAGCGACGCGGCCAGAAGCTGCCTGTAGTTGGCGGGGGTGGCCCCGGAGGCGAGGCTGCCCCAGATAGCGAACACCTTGACACGAGGCCCAGCGTGCTTCGCCAACGTCCCGTTCTTGTCGACCACGAACGTGGGGAACAGCACCACTGGGCTGAACAACGCCATGGAGTGGCAGGGCTTCGGCAAGAGCCGCATCAGCTGCGTGTACAGCGCAATGCCCGCGCCTTTCCCGAAGCCCGCGAGCACGAGGCGGCTCCAGTCCAGCTTGTATTGCTCCAGCTTCGCCCTCAGCGTCTCCACCAGGGAACGGCCAAGCAGCTCCACGTCGTGCAGGGTGTCCAGATCCTCGTTTTCAAGTGTCGCCCTGCTTCTCTGGTACCACGAACCGTCTGTAACCTCGCCCTTCTCGAGGTCGAACTCCCTGAATGCCTCGCTGGCCGGATGCTCGGTCCAGGCGACGTTGACCACCACGGCGTCCTTGCAGTACTGCGGCATCTCCTTGAGGGCCCTGTCGTCGGCCGTGGGGTCGTCACCGACGAAGGCGATCATCAGGCTCGGGCTGGACCGGTTGCCGATCTCCTGGCTGACCTGCAGCGGCTCCTCGGGGTTCATGGCCGCAACGCTCGCATCCGTGAAGAGGAGGTTGAGCCACTCCATCTTGAGCTTCTGCCGCTCCTCAGTCTCTCTCCGCTGCCTATCCTCCTGCGCCTTCTCCACGGCCTTCCTCTCCTTTTCCGCCTTCTCGTGCTGGGTGAAGCTCTCATGCTCCTCCTGCAGGGTGGGGAAGATCAGCACAACTTGGGCGTTTTCCGAAGCGTCTGAGGCGCGCGAGAAAGCGTCCGCGATCGGGTCCTCACCCACCTTGTAGAGACAGGTGTCGACCTGAAATTTGTTGGCGCGCATCAGCTTCGTCACGTTTTCCATGACTGTCATCATCTTTTTCGCATTCGCGGTGCTCGAATGCACCCACCTGCTCAGGCTGAAACCCACGACCCTGCCACCCCAGGCTGCCAGCAGCGTCGGCGAGATGTCTAGCGGCTGTGCGACACCGTGGCCGCAGACGACGAGCTGGGCATCCTTGTCCCCAGGCTGGAGGCAGTGGATGAGCTGCTCGCAAGAGTCCCGAGTGGCTATGCCATCGAGGGCAAGCTTCGGTAGAAGCCGCTGGTTCCGGTCGCGCCACCTGAGCAGCGCAACCGCGTCAGGAAACACCTCCTCGGCACCCATCGTGACTAGAAGCTCGCTGATGCGCTCGTACTGAGCTCGCACCGTTGGGGGAGCGGTGGCGCGGTGGTCGGCATCCTGCCAAGCACTCTTCGTGCCGTGCTCCCCCTTCACGAGGTTCCTCGGTGCGCCAGGGAGGGACAGGATGCACAGCGGCTTCAGCTTCAGGAGCTTGCAGAGCTGGAGGAGCGAGGCGCCTGCCGCCGAGAGGTGCGCCGAGTTGAGCAGCACCATGTCTCCTGAGCGGCGAGAACAAAACAGGTCCCGCGCGAGATGGCGTGGCGACCCTGCGCCGGAGCCTGCGCGGGCCGCCGACGCGGCACGCCGCGAGGGAGAACGGCGGCGCTGACGCGCGACCCTACGCCGAGGCAGCCTCCGCGCCGGTGTCGGGGAAGGCGGGGACCCGTTTTCCTGCGTTGCCCTCCTGGCTTTAGCCTTCTGCCGTACTGCTCCAGCACCTCGTAGGCCTGCGCGATCGTGGGCGCCAGGCAGATTTGCTCGGGGGTGAGCTCCTCGAGCAGCGCGGCCGGGATGCGGAAGACGTCCTCCTCGCTGCACTGCACCAGCGTCCGCGCGGTGCCGAGGGGGCGGAAGCTGGGGAACTTGTTGGGCTTCGGGAGGATCAGCACGGCGTCCTCTGCCTTCAGGTCCTCGACGCGCGCCCCAGCCTGCTCCACACGCCCGACACCGGTATTTCCAAGGCAGGCGCCAGCCTTCTTCAGGTCGGCAAAGATCATGGAGTCGTCCACTGGCACGGCCAGCATCCGAACCAGCACCTCGTCGTGCTCGATGGTCTTCTTCAGCGACAGCGGCTTGACCTCTACATCAACGGGACCCCGCATCGGCTGCTCGTACGTGTCCAGCTTCGGCGTCCCCATCACGTGCAGAACGGGAGTCGAATGGTTGACTTTCGTCGAGAGCTCTGAGGCGTTGTACAAATGGCTCTTCAAGAAATCTCTGTCGGTCAGGACCATGGACTCCTGGTCCCGCTGTCGGAGCCAGGCAGCGAAGCCTTCCTCATGGGTCTGCACCCCTGTGATGATCCGGTCCTGCAGACTAACAATTGCTCTGTCGTCGGCATCCTTGGTGCGGGGCTCGAACTTCAGGCGGCCGCCCCCGAATCCGTCAACAAACTCCTCCTCTGGGGACTTATCCGCGCGGCCCGTGGCATCGTACCGCTTCCGCTTCTCTGCGTCCGTGAGCACGTTGTAGGCCTTGTTGAGCAGCTGGAACTTCTTGGGATCGCCGCCCTTGTCGGGATGCTCCGCCAGGACCTTGGCACGGAACTTCGACCGGATCTCGTGCAAGTTGGCGTCCCGCTCCACGCCTATCAGCCTGTAGTAGTCTGGCTCCGCCATCCCCTCCCTGCGGCGGTGTGCACGCACGCACACGCGTGCGCGCCGAAAGGTCGGCACGCTGTTGCGCCCGCTCTTGCTTGAGCCACTCGGGGCTCCGGAACGGACTCTCTACGCACGCCTGAGACGCATCAGCATCGCTGCATTCTCCTGGCCAAGGACTGTTCAAGTCAGCCTGCGCACGCCTTGCCGACGTCGTCTTAACGAGTGCTTCACACCGCGCCTGGCTGGAGCGACGAGGACCCTGACGACTAAAGCTGGTACGTGGCGGTGGGTGGTCGGCAGCCCCAACTCTCGCAGCCCATCTTGAGCACAACCCGCACTTGCTCTGGGCACGACGGGCTCCGCAAGCTCTCGGGCACGCTGGCGCTGACGCTCCCTTCTCGGGGTGCCACGCTTCTTGGGATTTCCGCAGGCTTCCACCGCCCTTCCGCCTGCGTCCGCCAGCGAAAACGGCCTCGCCGTTCTTGCGCCTGCTGCCGCCGAGGGCGGGCTCACAGCTCCCGGACTGCTCGGGGGCGGTGCCGCCTCTGGGGCGCCACTGCACGAGGACGAGGTGATGCCCCCTCGCCATGTGACCGACAGCCGGTCGGTCGGTCGGTTGCCGCTTCTGGGGCGCCCCGGCACGAGGACGAGGGAGGCCCCCTCGCCATCTGGCCAGAAATCGGTGGTCGGTCGGTCCCAGACGTCCGGCTGCTCCACTTCTATGCATCTGTGGCCCGCGGGGGTCTGGGCCCCTTGCCCAGGGCCAGTTCTTCGCCCTGGGTCCCGAGGCCCGGCGAGGGCCCCCGGAGGACGGAAACGAACAAGAGAACGGCGGCTCCGATTTTGTCGGAGCGCCGGACCTCTGGGGCTGTCGGTCCGTCGTCCGGCCGGAGGTCCGCTCTTCGGGCTGGCGGGTCGGGCGACCTCCGCGTCGGCCACGCTACCGCTGCACGCGCGCGCGGCCGGCCACGCGCGCCGACCTGCGGCAGGGCCACCGTCGTCCTCGTTGTCGTCGTCGCCCTCGTCGTTGTCGTCGTCGTCGTCCTCGTCGTCGTCGTCGTCGTCGTCCTCGTCGTCGTCGTCGTTCGTCGTCGTCATCGTCGTCGTCCTCGTTCGTCGTCGTCCTCGTCCGTCGTCGTCGTCCGTCGTCGTCGTCGTCCTCGTCGTCGTCGTCGTCCTCGACCTCGTCCTCGGCGTCGTCGTCGTCGTCGTCGTCGTCCTCGTCGTCGTCTAGTGGCAGCCGTGCGCGCCCAAGCCGTCGTCGTGGCAGCCGTGGAGCCGCCGAGCTCCCTCGTGGCAGCCCCTCCGGCCGGGGCGCTCACAGCTCGTCGTCATCCTCCGAGGGGGGCTCGGACGCCTCGCGGGGGGGCCGCAGGCGGAGCGGCCCTTGGACGACGAGGACGACGACGACGACGACGACGACGACGACGACGACGACGAGCGAGCGAGGTCTGGCGTGCGGGAGTCCGCGCCCATGGAGGGCTGCCGGGCACTGGACAAAATGCAGCGCGCCAGACTGCCTCAGCGACGGGTCTTTCTCTCAGTCTGTCCACCGTTTGCGTGGTCGTCCATGCGACCGAAGGCCATAGGGTGCCAACAGGGATAACATTGGACACGAGGCACGGGCGACGAACCGAAGCGGGGGCACGTCGAGGCAGGGTGCCAAAGGCAGAAGGAGCACCTGCCAGAGCCGCACGAACCCCGACCTTCAAGCACTGTGCGCCCCCGCGTTTTGCGAGTCGGCTGAGGGCCGAAGCAGGCCGCTCACGGCTGTGTGAAAGGCTGTCTTTAGAAGAAGAGAACGCGGCATAAGCATAAGAGTTTAGCGCTCCGCGCGGATTTCTTGGATCCGCGCTTGACCCCCCTCCATGGCGCGCGGAGCGCGCCAGGGGCGGCGCCGGAGGCGCCGCCAGGGTGCCCCAGCGCGGATCCGAGAAATCCGCGCGGACCTCCGAGTTTTCATGTTTATGTCATTATTCGTTCCCCTAGTCTTGGAAGCTCGTGCAATCGCTGTGGTCACCCGAGGGCTTTGCCCGTGCGGCCGTGCTACTGGAAGGTACGCTGGGGACGTGCGCAGCGGGGCCGTCCTGGGGCCTCTGGGCGTCGAGGGAGGGTGACAAAGGCAGAGGGAGAAAAAGCATGATCATAAAGCTTCCCCCTACTCCTCCTCCTCCTCCTCCTCCTCCTCCTCCTCCTCCTCCCTCCTCCTCCTCCTCCTCCTCCTCCTCCTCCCCTTCTCCTCCTCCTCCTCCTCCTCCTTCTCACCCTCCTCCTGCTCCTCCTCCTCCTCCTCCTCCTCCTCCTCCTCCTCCTCCTCCTCCTCCTCCTCTTCCTCCTTCTCCTCCTCCTCCTCCTCCTCCTTCTCCTCCTCCTCGTCCCCCTCCTCCTTCTCCTCCTCCTCCTCCTCCTCCTCGTCCTCCTCCTCTTCTTATTCTTATTATTGTTATTGTTATTCTTATTATTCTTATTATTATTCTGATTATTCTTATTATTATTATTATTCTTATTATTCTTATTATTCTTATTATTCTTATTATTCTTATTATTCTTATTATTAGTATTATTATTATTAATATTATTATTATTATTAAAATTATTGTTAGTGATATTAGTATTATTATTATTAGCATTAGTATTATTATGATTATTATTAATAATATCATTAGTAGTATCATTATTGGTATTATGACTATTATTATTATTGTTATCATTATTACTACTATTATTACTATGATTAGTTTTATTGGTATTATTAGTATTATTATTATTATTATTATTAGTATTAGTATTAGTATTATTACTATTATCATTATCATCATTATCATCATCAGCAGCATCAGCATCATCATCATCATCAGCAGCAGCATCATCATTATTATTATTTTATTATTATTACTATTATTATTATTAGTATTATTGTTAGTGTTCTTCGTATTAGTATTATTATTCTTATTATTATTATTCGTCTTATTATTATTGTTATTATTATTCTGATTATTCTTATTATTATTAAGCGTATTCTTATTGTTCTTCTTATTCTTATTACTATTATTATTACTCTTATTATTATTAGTCTTATTATTATTATTATTATTATTAGTAGTAGTAGTATTACTCTTATTTTTCTTACTTTTAATAATATTATTATCATCATCATCATTAGTATTATTATTCTTAGTAGCAGTATTATTAGTATTCCTCCTACTCCTCCTCCTCCTACTCCTCTCTACTCCTCCTCCTCCTCCTCCTCCTCCTCCTCCTCCTCCTCCTCCTCCTCCCCCTCCTCCTCCTCCTCCTCCTCCTCCTCATCCTCCTCTCCTCCTCCTCCTCCTCCTCCTCCTCCTCCTCCTCCTTCTCCTCCTCCTCCTCCTCCTACTCCTCCTCCTCCTCCTCCTCCTGTCCCTCCTCCTTTTCTTCCGCCTGTCCCTCCTCTTTTTCTTCCGCCTCCTCCTCCCCCTCGTGTTCCGCCTCCTCCTCATCATCATCCTTATCCTCCTCCTCCTCCTCCTCCTCCAAGACATCCGCGCGGACCTTCCAACGTTCATCTGTGTGTCGTTCTGTCATTTCTCTCTTTCGGACAGACGCCTGCGGAGACTCTAGCGGTCATGCCAAAGTAGAGTGCGCATGGGGAGGCACGGGCGACGAAGAGAAGCGGGGTACGTCGAGGCTGGGTGCCAGGCAGAAGGAAACAAAAAGCGGCATGAGCATAGACTATCAGAGGTACCTGCGGATTTCTTGGATCGGCACCGGATCCACCTCGCTGGCGCGCCGATCCACGACAACCGCGCGGACCTCCGAACGTGCATGACACTTTTCTTCTTCGATCGAAAAACACCTGCAGAGACGGCAGCGATCAACACAACGTGAAGTTCACCTGCCGATGTGCGAGGTACACCAAAGGATATGGGCGGTTTCAGAGCGAGTCGCCGCGAGGCTCACGTCGGCACGACAGTTTCGACGCAGGCATATCGCGGTCAGGGCTCCTGCGTCCGAGCCGAGCGGATGTGCACAAGGGGAACATTGAAGGCCTGAGGAATGGCTGGAAAGTGCAACATCAGGTAAAGGCGTGACCCGAGAGCACTCACTTCACAGAAAGAGGGAGGGCGTGATCCATCCCAGCCCAGGCGGTTCCACAGCCAATCCCCTGCCGCTCCGCCCCAGAGGGGCGAATGCTGCGGCAACTCGCGGCAACCCTTTGCCAGGAGGATCCTCGATTGTCCGAGTGCGGGAGGAGGGAGAGGGGAAAGGTCGAGCGCTGGCGAGTTGTCCACCAACCCTCCAACAAGGCCAGGAGGTGCAGGAGGCGGCGGGGGAGAAGAGGGCATCGGAGACAGGGGGGCGCAAGCAGGAGGAGGACTTCACGAGCTCAAAGGGCACACAGCTTGGCCCACACTTCCCGCACGCAGCGCCAGCTGCTGCTCGCACCCGCCCGTGCGATGCACCCTTGGCTGTGAGCAGGCAGGTGGATCGCTTGCGTCAGGTCGGGCATGACCTCCTGCAGGCGGATTCGGGAAGAGAAGGGAAAATTGTCCGACGAGATCCCCAACACAATCAAAACTATTGGAAAATTCGTCCCGAGACTAGTCCTGACCATTCTTGGATACTCCTCCAGCAGAGAGAGACGTGCCCGCCTCAACGCTTGCGACGTCGTGCCGTGGCATGCGCAGGGAGAGGCCCCCGCCGCTCTGCCTGCAGCGGGGGGCCCCAGGTCATGGCCCGACGGCGCTGAAGTGGCGGAGGGCACGCGGGTGGCGCGAGGAAGGCACCGATGCAGGTGCCTCCTCCTCCTCCGCCTCCTCCGCCTCCTCCTCCTCCTCCTCCTCCTCCTCCTCCTCCTCCTCCCTCCCTCCCTCTTCCTCTTCCTCTTCCTCCTCCTCCTCCTCCTCCTCCTCCCTCCCTCCCTCCCTCCCTCTTCCTCTTCCCTCCTCCTCCTCCTCCTCCTCCTCCTCCTCCTCCTCCTCCTCCTCCTCCTCCTCCTCCTCCTCCTCCTCCTCCTCCTCCTGAACCGGATGGCCTTCAAAGACAGTCGGGGAGCTTCTAAGCAGGCACGGAGCTCGCCTTCTGGCCTTGCCAGAACCCCGCGGGAGGCGCCGCCGCGCACCGCGGGCGGTGCACGGCGCCGCCCGGGGCCGGCGCGCGCCGTCGGGCCCCGCTCCGCCCCGCCGCTCCGGGAGGCGACGGCTGGCGGCGCCACTCCGGGAGGCAACAGTTTGCAGTAGGTGCCTTAGCCTTTGGCCCCTTGGCATGTTCGCCGCCTCGAAGAGGCACTCCGTGGCATCTTCCTCTTGCCTTTGCGGAGCGTCCGGAAGACACACACACACACACACACACCAGGAGGAGTTATGAGCCAGGCATGGCCGCGAGGACTGCGTGATTCGGGGAAGAAGGAAAAAAGACTGGCGGCGCGCAGAGGGGGGGGGGACTCAGGGGGAGGGGGGCAAGCTTCTCAGAAGGAGCCTGCTTCTCATACGGCGCCGGCCCTGCACTCACAGACGATGAGTGCCCGCGCCTTCTAGGAAGCAGCCTCCCTCGAAGAAGCCTTCCGCCCCCCCCCCTCCTGCCACCCTCCGCGCGTGGCCGAGATGGGGGTCGGCGGCGGGGCAGCGCTGGAACCCTCAGATCTGACTTTGCAGAAAGCTGCAACACCGCGAAAGATCACGACCGGAGCCCCCCAGACCCGATCTTTCTGCTGCACTCTTCGAGCCGGATCGATCTGTGAGGGCACCTGGGTCCAAGAGACCGCCGTTGTGACAAGCTTGCCACGCCAGCATCTCGAGAGGAAGGCTGGGAGGGGGCGCACACTCAGCGGGCAGGGGCGCCCAGGCGGCCCTCCCTCGCCTCGGCGCGGCACTCGCAGCCCGTGGCCGCCAGGGCAGCGGGCTCCGCGAGGTGCACGGGAGCGGCCAGCGGCGGGAGAACGCGCGCGCCAGCCCGCAGGGCTGTCAGTGCGGCGGCGCGCCGGCCCACCTTTTTCCCGTCGGCGGCGAGGCAGAAGGGCCGCAGCAGCGGTAGAGCTGAACGGGGGCACCGAGAAGCGAAGTGCCCAGCATGCAGGGGAGGATTGCCCGGCATGCAACTCCCAGCGCGCCGGCACACAGGGTGCACGCCTCGCCGGGGGTCGCCACAGCGGCTCGTGAGGGCTCGTCCTCCCCGCGGAGACGGCGGCGACCCGCAGGGGGCAGGTGGAGGCCGCTCGCGAGGGGGCCCTGGCAGCAGGAGGGGCGCCAGGAGCACACCCGCCGTGCACCAGCCTGCCCAGGCCCCCGACGTCGCGTTTCTGCTCGCGCCGTGGGCCCGCAGAACTCTCGACCGCTCACGGGGAGCCGGCTTCTCATCCTGGGTCGTCTCTTGGGGCGGTCCCGGGGGCTCGGCGAAGGGCCCCACGAGGCCGAAAGTGGCCGAGCACCTGCGGTTGGGGCTTCCTTCGCGACGCGAGGGGGTCTGGGTGCGGAGCGGGGTGCGGAGGGCCCCCAGGGGCACTGCGAGCCGGGCCGGTGCACCAAGCCAGGCGGGAGGGCGCCGAGCGGGCCGCTGGCGCATGCCCCACGAGAGCGGCGAGCGGGACAGGCAGCCGTGGCCTTCTGCTTGGTGAGAGCCCTGAGATCTGACGCTGCAACCAAAAAAACTTGCAGCATCGCCGAGAAATGCGACCTGGAGCCCCAGACCCCATCTGTCTGCTGCATGTTTCGAGCTGGATCGCTCTCTGAGAGTCCCGGGGTCCAGAACCAGGTGAAAACACCCGTTGCGAAAAAAAACGCAACGCCAGACTCTCAGGGCTCTGCTTGGTGGAAGGGCTTTGGCCGCCGCCAGGGCCGCCGAGCGAGGCTGCCCAGCGGGGTGCGCCAGGGCGGGCCAGGCAGCTCGCGGAGGGCGGCGTCCCGCGGAGCCGCTCGTGCGGCGGGCCGCCGCCGCGGCCGCAGGGGCAGCCCAGCGGGGCCGCCGAGGCTGCTGGCGGAAGCTGTCAGCCAGCGCCGTGCCGAAGGCGGGCGTCTGCTGCTGCTGCTGCTGCTGCTGCTGCTGCTGCTGCTGCTGCTGCTGCTGCTGCTGCTGCTGCTGCTGCTGCTGCTGCTGCTGCTGCTGCTGCTGCTGCTGCTGCTGCTGCTGCTGCTGCTGCTGCTGCTGCTTGGCGGGGGCCGAGGAAGGTCCTCAGAGCCCGGCGTCGCAAATCTTGTCGCAACGGGCGTTTTTGTCCAGTTTCGGGCCACAGAACCCTCACAGGTCGGTCCGGCTCGAAAAGAGCAGCAGAAAAGATGGGGTCTAGGGCTCCGAGTGGTGATTTCTTGCGACGTTGTGATTTTTATGCAACATCAGATCTCAGGGTCTGCTGATGCTTGGCGGTGGCTGGGGAGGGAGAGGAAGGCGAGATTCGGTTCGGACGTCCTCGAAGAAGCGAGCTCACAGTTGCTGGGCGGCCACCACACCCCTTGGATGCAACAGGCGGGCGAGGATGGAATGGATGACCTCGGCTGAACAAGCTGGGCTGCCCGCGCCTGCAACGCTGATCGAATGGAGAGGGGCGGCATCTGCGAGGCTAGAAACTTGAAGGTCGGAGTTGCGCCGAGCCTTCTTCGAGTGGAACATCAGCAGCTCCGCCAGCGCCTCCCATCTCGCCCGTATTCAACCTTTACCTCCACTCCCCCAACCCTCGTCCTTCCTTCTCCATTCGTCTTGTCTGCTGCCATTTGCTATCGCACGCAATGCGGCAAAAGCCACTGCGCCTGCGCAAATCAGTCAGAGCCGTTGTGTCGTCCACAGGGAGGAAAGCACAAACTGTTTCAAAACCCTACTCCTTCTCCTCCCCCTCCTCCTCATTCTCCTTCTGCCTATCCTGCGCCCCATCTGGTTCCCTCTCCTCTCCTCCACTCCTAATTCCCAACTTTTCCTCGAATCCCTTATCATCCCTTCCTACGCCTCTGCTGATGCTCGCGCCTCCAAATCGCTCAGATCGCACCACCTCCCGGCGTTAGCTGCAGGCGGAAGGCGGTGGCATCGCGAGCGCGTGCAAACCAAAGTGCTGCTTACGTGTTCGTCGGCGGCGAGGCAGAGTTGGCTGCACCAGCGAAAAGCTAGACGGGGGTGCCGCAAAGCGAATCGGCCAGCGTGCACGAGGGGAAAACAAAAGTGCTGCATACACTTTGTTTGATCCGAAAGCCCCCCCCAAAAAAAGTGCTGCATGCACTTCGCCATGCCATACATTGCTTGGTTACGATCCGCCCGTGGAAGGCCTGAAGGCTTCCTCGCGTAACGGACCCCTGCTACCAGAGGGCCCCGCCAGCACGCCTTCATGAACCATGATGTGAGTGCCCTCTCCTCCTCCTCCTCCTCCCCCTCCTCCTCCTCCTCCTCATCCTCCTCCTCCTCCTCCTCCTCCTCCTCCTCCTCCTCCTCCTCCTCCTCCTCCATGAACCATGAAACAGGGTGCCCGCGCAGCATTATGCTTCCCCGCTGGCGGTTTCGAGACGGAGTGCTCCTACCGCGGGGCATCCTGACGCAACATGAACACAATGCCATGGCGGAGTCGCACTTGCCCATCCGCACGGTACAGAATGATCATCCTCTGTATCCAGTGGGTCTCCGCGTGGACCCCAGACAGTGAGACACTGCCCTCTCGTTGTGCGTGAGACGCTGAGCAGCATATGTGGTGCAGTCTATGTGGTGCACGCTATGCGGTGCAAGCTATGTGATGCCATCTATGTGATACGAGTTTTGTACTGCATGCTACATGGTGCTATGCATCCAGATGCCTGCGGTAAACCTCCACACCGTGCCAGCACAGCAGCGCGGCGGAAAGGAAACTGAGTCTAAGCCACGTTCCAGCCCAGTGCATTGTTTGAACTGGCGCGGCTCTTGAACACACCATCTTAGTCCGCGGCCGTTGACTGTCTTGGAACCGCTCGGAGACCCAGAATTTGACCACGCGGGGGACAATGCGGGTGGGCCGGCCCTGGAAACAGTACGGGAACCTCACCAGACAACCAACAAGCATTGCAACAGGCCCCCACGTACCGAAGCTACGGTGGCGGACTGGTACAATCAACGTGGTGCAAAATCCGCCGCCGATCCTGTCGGCGTGTGTGAGGGGGAGCTCTGATCGTCCCAGGGCGGTCCTGGGAGAGAACGTTCATTCGAAGCTGTTCTTCCCTTCCCAAGCGGTCACCTTCGACTCTCCAAGCTCGCCAACCCGAGGTGAATCGAGCTAGGACGCAATCGAGGTGGTAATCGAGTTGATCCCTTCCCCGCCCAGGGGGGTGCGGGGGTCCTGGGTCAGAATACGGTCTCTCATACCCCCTCTTTCGGATCACATTCTGGCAGCAAAGTTGGCCATTCTTCGGCAACTTAGGTCCAAGACTGTCCAAGAGGGGCTTGAAACAGTTCCAGAACCCTCCAACACAGCCCAAGATGCCTCAAGACTGCCCAAGAAATCCCCAGGACGTCCAAAGAGGGCTCCATGCCCCCAAAAGCAAAAGATCATGGTTTCCCTACGGTGTTTGGTAAATTTGTGCGGTCTCGCATCTACGGGCTTCCGACCGCCCCAGACGGCCCAACACGCCCCAAAATCCACCTCAAGAGGGGCCCCAGACGGGAACACGGACTGCAATATCTAAGCATTCCTCTAAAGATGGCCTTCGACACAGCCAGCAGGCCCCACAAAGACCACCCATAACTCACTAAAATGCTCTCCAAGAGGCCAAACCCTCAGAAATTGTCTTACGAGTCTGGGACCTTCCTGAGGCCTTCCTCCAAGCAAGCCATACTGGCCAACCAATGTGGCGCAGTCTGTATTGCATGCTCTTTTCGGTTGGAGTCGTGAAGTGGTCGCCACGCGTTTCCGTCTCAGTCGTCGTCGTCGCCATCGCCGCTGCCCCCTTTTCCTTGGAGGCTCCTCCTCCTCCTCCTCCCCCTCCTCCTCCTCCAAGCGCGCCAGCCAGAAGGAAATCAAGCAACTCCATAACCGAGCCGAAGGGAAACCCCTTCTTGATCCCTTCCCCGCGGGAGGTGGGGGTTCCTGGCGGTGTCCCGGTAGGGGGGGGGCAAAGGGGTGCGTCACCTCTCCCTGGGACTCCAGATGGCTCTAAGAGGGCTCCAGATAGCCCAAGATGGTTCAAGACATGTTTTAGCATGCCGCTACGAGGCCTCAGCCATCAGTATGTTCCCACGCCCCCTCGTGGTCACCTTCCTGCGAAAGATCTGACTCTTAAGAGTGATGCCGCGAATGTGAAACATGCGGCTCTGGTCCAATGTTCTCTGGCGAAGCGTTCAAGAGCACGGCGGATCCGTCAGTGCTTGCTTCTATGTTGAATAGTACGATGTATAGTCGCCTCATGTGTACAAAGGGTTGGGTACGTCCCCGGGTAGTTCCATGTGTCGCTGAACACGCCGATCGTGCAATGCTGAAGCACAAATGGTGTTGGACTGATTTCGACGTTCGCGCGGGGAGGCGCGCGCATGTTGCACACTGGTGCGGCATCCCTCTCAGCATATTGACCACATGCTCGGTGCTCCCACTGATCTGTGCTCATACATCCTCCCATGGCAAATCAGCAGTCGCGAGTGCCTTTCCTAAGGCACGAGCATCTTCTGCCTCCTCGACGTGGAGGAGAAGCAAAGCGTGACCAGACTGGAAGAAGAGAGCGTGAAAGCAAGGTGCACGCACGGAAGGCACCCTTCACATAGCCGTGAGACATCGGTACGGGCGCCGAGAGGTTATCAGAACAAATCGACGACTGCGAGCAGCAATCCTTCCAGCCGGATGCTCTGAGGAAGCTACGTATGTGAGCAGCGAATGGGTGCCGCAAGCGAGGTTGCGAGCGGAATCAAGACGATCTTCATAATGCAGAGTGCCGACACGTATCCATGAAAATGCGGACACGAGCTTCATCAAGGCCTGTATGTTAGTCGAGGTAGCCCGAGGAACGCTGAAAAGGTAAAAGTGACCCAAGCAAGTTGTCGTGCTTTTTCGCTACCCACAACCAGGTTCAGACACGGAGGGCTGTAGCTCAGGCTTCGGGGCTACATGAGCCAAGGGTGCTGGCAGGCACGTGGAAAGAAAGCCTGCACAAGGATTCGGGCCTCTGAAGACCTCGCCCGCTCTGTGGCGCGAACAGGCCGTGTGTTTGACGAGAAGTTGGTCAAGGCAAGAGATACAGAACCCCCCGACATGAAGCTCAGACATTTCGAGTTTCCTGTGCATGGCCAGGGCGCAAGGCAAGCAAGCCCACCCCGACTGACGACCTACCAGACCACCCCAACCCAACCCGAAGACCCGAATTTCGGGTTGAGGGGGGCTACGGGCCTCATGCGTATGTGTTTTCTCCATGTCTCTGGACCCCCCCCCACCCACTACGGAGGGCAAGTTGGGGCCTTCGGGGTTGGGTTGTCGGCGGTGGACAAACCTCCCTTTAGTAAACCTCCCCTTAGTGAAAACGGCCTGGGACCGAAACTGACGGACCTGGACCCGCAAAAAAGACGGCCGCGACGCACTCTCGCGAACCGAAAACGGCCAATTCCTCAATCGACGTGTCAGGGTATGAGGTCTGTCCACCCCCGAGGTTGGGGCGGCTTGGTGGGTGGTGACAGACAGCGCGACCGGGAAGGCGGCAAGCCGCGTCCTTGCACATCTTCCACACAAACACGAAGACGTTCAGCTGGGCACGGGCCGCTGCCGGAGGTTTCCGCGGAGCAGCCGGTGGGGGCGAGCAACGGGCACGCGGCGGGCGCGGTGCGGGCCGCAGGCCCGCCCGCAGCCTGAACTCGTCGGAGCGCCCGACCCATGCGCAGAGCGACCGTGATTTCTGCGCTTGAACACCTGGATCGCTGCCGCTGCTTCTGCTCCTCCAT